GGTGAGGATCCCTAATAGATTGCTGATTTGCACTTCCAAGTTTTGGAGACTTGCTTGATGACTTTGGAGTCCTGCCTCAACCGAGGTAAACTTGGAGGTTGCCACATCCATGAATTGCTCAATCTTCTCGAACATCTGAGAGCTTGTACTCACAAAGTTGGTTACAACGTCTTCATGTTTAGAGAACTTGTCGACTTGTTGATGTTGTTGGAACCCTTGTACACCTTGGGCTTGGTATGGTTGTTGGACGTTCGAGTTTTGGAATTGAGGCCTTTGTTGGATGTAAGTTGGCCGAGGTTGATAGTTTCCCGTTGGACCTTGGAAACCAGGAGGTCTTGGATTGGAAGGGGAAGACCAAGCAAAGTTTGGATGATTGCACCACCCGGGGTTTTATTTGTTGCTATAAGGGTTGTTCCCTCTAGCATTGGCAATGAAACTCACTTGCTCCTCGGAGGTACTTGTCTCCTTCATCGCTTGGAAATCCGCAATTTCATGATAAGTGCTCTAACACCAATCACAAGACATCATCGCTCTCTTCCCTTGTTTCTTGTTCTCAAGGATCACCTCGATCAACTTGCCAAGCTTCGCTTCAAGTGGAGCACTTGTTCCCCAACTTCACACTCCTCTTTAGGTGCTTCTCTTCCCACTTCTTGTCAAGCCCCAATCATATCCCTTGAGGGCCATATCTTAGAGCAACTCGGTCACTTGAGGTGGATTCATGTTCATCAACTTCCCTTGGAAAAGAGAGTCGATGAGAATCTTGTCATCTTGAATGAGACCTCCATAGAAAGTCTCTATCCAAAATTGCTCCTTGAATCCATGGTGATGGCATTGGAAGAAGTAGTCAGAGAATCTTTCTCATGCATCCCTCAGTGTCGCATCCTCATATTGCTCAAAGTGAGTGATCTTCTTCCTCCACTCGGCCGTCTTGGATGGAGGACAATATCAGGTCATGAACTTGTTGAGTAAATCATCCCAAGAGGTGATGGACAGAGCCGGACGGTTGTTGAGCCATTGGAGGGCCTTCCCCGCCAAAGAATAGGGGATGCCATTTATCTTCAAGATTCCCTCTAGCCCAAGAAACCTTTGGACATGATCTCGTGCTGATTCATTGGCAAGCCCATGAAAGTAGGCGTTGTTTTGAATCATCATCACAAGAGCGGGCTTGATTTCAAAGTTGTTGGCGGCTACGAGTGGATGTAAGATGGGAAATTGGATATCCTCCACCCGTGGAGCCATATAATAGCCCTTAGTCCTTGGCTCTTCCTTGGCTATCGCTTCCACATTTGGGTTTTGAAGTGGACTAGCCCCTCGGAGTTGATTTCCGCCATCTCGACTTCAACTTCTCCTTAAATTCCTTCAAATTTGGGACCAACTTGTTGTCCCCTCTCTTCACTTCTCCTTCTTGACTCCGCTAGCTCCCTCTCTTGAGCTAAAAGTCGGAGATTCTGGTTGACTTCCTCGTCTAGTGGTGTTAAAGGCGTCGGATTGCTCTGGGTCATGAACCTCCCTACACACACTTAAAGAACACAACACATCTAGCACAAGCAATAATTCACACTTAACAAAACTGAAAATAAAAGCTAGATTAACACCAAACAATCTTTTCACAATAACGGACCAAAGTTCCACGGCAACGGAGCCAAAAACTTGACTCGCTCTGACTATCACAATAAAATCCCACCTAAAGCCCATGTGTGAACCTTAGATGAGTGCAATATAGGGCAAGTATGTTTAAATATCAACCCGGGCCGGCCCATATACTGCTACTTCGACTATTTGAAACATTATCTAGCAGATAGTTTTGGTGAAAACAAAGATCTAAAGCTAAAGTACTTACAAAGATAAAATGGTTTTGACACTAAGTGAAAAGGCTTCACCCGGGTGTTGCTCCCCCTAGCTAACAATTATGACTTGAAGGATCAAATGACCGTGTGTGGTGAGGGGGTTTTAAACCGCAGGGAAGTCTAACAAGTAGCTAAGGCTACCCTCTTAGTCTCTAGGTCGAGGAAATGGGATACTATCCAAGCCACTAATGCGACCCTCTCAACCTATTGACTAATGAATGGTTAGACTTCAACCTCGAATTGGCGTTCGGACGGCCACCCACAACCAAACCCTAGGTGCTAATACAAAATATGAGGTTTGCCATGCATTAACCTAACTAGGAGACAATGAATTTCCCAAGAAAGCCCAGCATTCAAGCCTTTTTCAAAGAAAGGAAGGGGGTTTTCTCTCTACCTAGGTTAGAATGGCAATTAGATTGATAGGCTTTCACACAACAAAAATATTCATGAATAATACCTCCACATTCACATTAAACACAACCACACAAAAATCATTCAATTCATACAAGCATTCACATAATTGTAGCTAGGGTTTACAAACACCCAAATGAAAGAAAGGACTACTCCATGCTAGGAGAAGGGAAAACACAAGGGAGAAGAAGGAAAACCATAAAAAAGATGCTAGCCTTGCTCCTTATGTTGAAGAGATCCTCCTTTGGTGGAGAAATTCCCAAATCCTTGCTTGGAGATGAAACCCTAACTTCTCCTCTTCTTTTGTTCGTCACTTTCTCACTCTAAAAATCTGAAGAAGAAGAAGAAGAATAAAAAGAAGAAGTTACTCACACTAGCTCTCCCCCTTTCTTCTTCCTTTCAGCTAGCTCTTTATACTAAGATTGTTCCCAGTTCATGCCCAAGTTCACGGCCGTGAACATCAAAACGCGTCTGTGAACACAGTGTGCTAAACCAAAACGCACCATTTCACTTTTTGGGTTCACGGTTTGTGGTTGCAGTTCACGGTCTTAGCAACCATGAACAGTCTTGGCAACTGTAACCTCAGAAACCCCTCTGGATGCTTCTTGTTTCACGGGGTTGTGGCTCTCGTTCAAGGTCCTAGCAACCGTGAACTCCAATGGTAGACCGTAAACACAGGTTGTTTCCTCCTCTTTTCCCGGTCTTTCCTCATTTTCTTCCAACTTTTGACTTTGGGGTTGATTTCACCAGTTAGAATCTGAAACACACTGAAATACAAGAAACCTAGCGTAAAACCACCCCTTCTGGAGCTCAATTGCAATAAAAATGAAAGAGAAACGGGAATAAAAAGTGTACAATTAGCCCCGAATCAAAGAAATCTGAAGACATCTTTCCCAAGAGCAGCTAGCCGTTGCCCACCCCCTGGAGGCACTTTCCTCTAGCATCAACCTTTGCTCTGGATGATGATGTTGACTCCATAATTATCATTTAACAAGCACTAAGCTGAGTGAAGTTCGTCTTTATGAGCACTCCTTTGGCGATGGGTTATAAGATGATAATTCCGGGATTCATTCCATCTTTGGAAAAGTAAAATGGTGATGCGTAAATTTCTGGCTAGTGGAAGCCTTCACTTCCAGTAGGAGGTAACGGCTAAATTTAGTTATGTCCAATCCTGGGTTGATATATAGCCGGCAGATCCTTTAAGTTGTTACTAATTTCCAAGGTTATTAAAGCCGACCCGAGCCGTTCGGTCGGATCTGTATAACAAAGTACCCAGCCGCCAACTCGGCTCGAAATCATTCAAAAGCCATTACGCTTGGAAAGGTCGGTCAGTGAGCGACCGAAACGATTACCGTTCGAGCCGCTCGAACCGTCCGCCTAGTTTTTTGGATCTGACATGAAAAAAAATGTTGGGTTGAATGTCGAGTGGGGGGGGTCATTTGGAAACCTAATCGTCATCAACTCTCTTCTCATCCTTTCTCTTTTTTCTTCGATCCTCACCATTGTTGGTGAGGCACTGTCGATCTGCAACCTTGCTGCACCATCAGACTGCAGCCGTTGCAGCTGCTCTCCAGGCCGTCGCTCTACATCAAATGACCTTCGTATTCCCCCGCTGCTCAATGCCATCACCCGTCATATTCCAACCCCTTCACCTTGCCTCCAAGCAGTCGTAGCACCACTAGGAAGCCATGCTCTAGCAGAAGCATGGGAAAGAAGAAAAGAATCGCAGAAGAAAAGGAAATAAAAGAAGAAAGATGGAAGAGATTTGATATTTTTTCTTCTTTCCTTACCTGGGGCCGCTGCAAGTGTAGGGGAAGAGATTCTCTTAATCCTAAAATTACATAACTAACCCATTAACCCTAAAAATTTATAAAAATACGATAGAAAATGTGTTCATTTGGTCCTACACTTTTCCAAGTATCTCAGAAAAAACACTATCTTCCTACAACTCCCTGAAATAAACTTTTATAAGGCATTCGTTCGTTAACGGTTTTTTAACGGCTTGATACCTATTAAACCAATATAGTGTGAGCTGTTCGTAGTACCGGCTCATGATCCCGTTCAGTTCTAGCAACATTGCTAATTTTCCTAACTCCCCAAAATTCTCCCATTCTCGAGATTTTGCATGATCTTCCAGCCATTTACCTATATCCTTCCTTCGGCGGTGTTCTCGCTTCCAAATGACCTTTGGATTCTCTTGTGTGTATCCCGTTCTTGGACAAGATTCCATAGATTCACAATGAACTTTCCTAGAGTGATAGAGTATTGTCGAAAAGATCTTGCAATGGCCAGCGATGATCACTCTTGAACACCGTCATTAAGTGCTCCTCTAATTGTCTTAGTAAGCTTTTATTAAGCCTTAATATCTTCAGTTTCTTTCCTCTAACAACACTGTCGTGAAGGTTATCTTTATGACTTTTAAATATATCTTTTCTTACACAAATGAGATGCCTTATGCCCGGGAAATCAATTTAGTGATTCGAATTCCCTCTTTTGGGTCATCAAAACTTTTAATTATCCTCCCAATTCTTGGGAAGGATTAAAATCGATATTAATCGTCCTAGCCTTCATGTTTTGGAACAATCACAACCCGCCTTTCGAGTTACTAAAATCCCTATCTGATTACTACCCTCTTTAATTATTGGATTAGTGATCGTGATTGGCTTTATTTAAGATTCCACCTAAGTAAAAAAAATTAGACATATATTACCCTTATCTAAAAAAAGAGTCCACCTATAATCACTCCTCTCCATTGATTTGAATGTCCCTTATGTTTCTTAGAAACTTTCCTCTGTTCCTTCCCTTCCAAAATAGAGACCCAATTCTTTCCCTTCTTACATCCAATGGTGGATTCAATAGAATTCAATGCAAGCTTCTTGAGGCGTGACAGGATAGGGTTGGCCTAAATCTTGTTGGCCGACTACTTTGTATTTCTTATCCTTCAAGATCCGTGTCTAATATACTACGAACAACTTTTGGGCTAAATGAGCGTCGACAACAGTGTTTGATGTAGGTTTTTATCTATTCCAGTTTGTCTTATCCAATGCCAATAACCACAAGTAAGCCCTGGGGAAAGACTTTATGGTTCATCCAGACAAAAGTTCTGAGGCTAAAGTAGTGGGAGAAGCCTTCAGAGCGCGTCTTCCTGGAGTTTGCTTATGTTCCTTACCTGGTCCATCTCTGGGACTTGCCAGAAGATAATCGAACTTTTTCCCTAGAGTGATTGCTTGCATCACGGTTGGGTTCGATGCAGGATGCAGGGATTTACGCCGTCTGGGCTGCGTATTTAAAATAAAGGTGAAGATCGACATCTGGTCCCCTCTACAACATTGCTTGGAAGCGGGAAAGAAAACTTTGAAGGTTCAATTGTTGGTTCCTTTTGGGTCTCACTAAGATATGAAAACATCAAAACAGTTTGCATCCCCTACAGAAGAATCCTCCACGACCAGAGGAATTGCACGTTTGAACTTGTAACAGGGGATGACGGTTTTGGTCCAAAAAATATATGGACTCAAACTGGTCCAAAAAATGAAAATTCATATGCTTCATTTTAGAATGGAGGGCGTATCTAGGCTAGCCACGTATGGAGAAAAGATTTACGCCCGGGTTTCCATCAGGGATCTACTCATTTGATGTTGGAGGGTCTTTCGCATCACTGCAACCAGGCGAGGAAGGAAAGAATTCCAAGATGTATGTACGAGAAACATCCAGCCGACAACATGAAGAGCGAGCCGACTCTCGGCTCTACCTCCAGGCCTATGAAAATCAGTAGGCTCACAAACCTGTTGGACTCTAGGCCGGTTGGGTCCCAGAACAAGATGGACGGGCAAATAATTCCTATTACAAATGGAGAGTGGCCTCAAGTAGCACTAGAGACATATAGCTCACCAAGAGCAGTGAATGGGAAGTCTAAAGGGAAAGCGATAATGGTGGAGTCATCTGGCTCACCAAGAGTCTATGTGCGGAAATTTTTTGGTATTTGTATTCATGAGCCGCAAGAAGGTTGGAGGTGTCCAACCCCAAGTGGCCTTATCCGCATACATGAACATATATGAGTGAAATTGCCAAGATGTGGGGAGTACCTTGACTTTGTGAATGCTAAAAGCTCACCTCAACCTATCCAAGTCCATTTATTTCTTTGTGAAACCATGTCTCCTAGTGACAAGGTCGCTTCTTTCATTTCTACACTAGGACTTTCATATTATTATTGACTCACTCCTACTGTCACTCTAGAAAATGGCCAAGTGTAACCACTTCCTAAAGCGTAGTATAGCGGGTTTGGGTTTTAATGTCAACTCGGGTCCTAGATGTGATGACTACTCAGCGAATTCTTATTATTTAGCGATGAAACTTTAGTGCAGGTTCAAACAAGCAAACAAGCAAGCAATTAAACGGTTGTTTCAAGTCGAGAGAGGTCACCCGGATATGGTTCCCCCTAGACTGCAGTTAAGCCGGATTGTAATTTACCAAGTTCAGTTTTAATGATAGTTATACTGCGGGAGGTTCTTAAGCAGTCTGAAGTCTCGACTAAAGGTCTCCAGACCCTCTCAATCTGAGTCCCCAGCGGGCGACTAACCTCCACCGGAGTAAACAAAATGAGGCCCTAATTAACCAAACCTCCAATACCGAAGTAAATTCGGTACAGAATAGTGAATTGGCTCCTCGACTAAAGTCGCCAATTCACTACCTTCAATTAAGGGTGCTCTATCAACCTAGGCAGATATTCTCTTTCTAGGCCAAAGCAGAAATAATAGGAATTTGATCAGGATTCATGCCATTCAATAAATCAAACCTCAATTGAATATAATCAAATCACAGAATCTGTACTTGGGTTCTTACAATCAGACCTAACATACAAATCTAGGGTTCTCCATACCCAGATGAATAAGAAAACTACTCCATAGAGAGAGATGGAAAATCTAGCTCAGATGCGGAAACCATACCGTGAAGGATGATACTCTGCTTCTGGCGCTCAATTGGATCTTCTCCAAGCTCAAGCCGGGCTCCCGTGGTGATGGAGATCGATCAAAGATACTTGAAGACTCAGTTTCGTCACTTTCTCTCTCTAGGTATTGCTTTGTCTCTCTAAAACTCGGAACTGCTTCTCCTTTGGCTCAAATCTGCCTAAAAGGCTGACTGATAGACCGTCATTTACACATGTTTTTACCCCCATTCTTACACCGTTTGAGGTGTTGATTCTCGTGTTTTAGGCCGATTTCACGCTAGGTTGTGCTTGTTTGTGATGTTTCAGGTCCTAGTACGTGAATGAAGGCTTAGGAGCGAGTCTGGGGTCGATTGGACGAAGAACGGACGAATGGCGAGGTTTTTGGGGAGCTGCACGGGCAGACCAGGGAGGCTGCACGGCCGTGCACGTGAGCAATATGGCCGTGCGCCTTATGCCGAGGACACGCACGGGCAACCCCTGAAGCTCGCACGGCCGTGCACCCTGGCCGTGCAAGAGGGCTGAAGTTCGACTAAATGACACGCTGCGTTTTGAGTTGCACGGCCAGAATGGTGTTATGCACGGCCGTGCACCCTGGCCGTGCGAGTCGGGATTTCCTAGTTTTAAGCCAAATTCCGAACCAAAGAAGAGGAGAGCTGGGTTTTGGATCCCAAACACCCAAGGGGCGAACCCTAGAGAGAGAGAGCGACTTGGGAACATTCTTGGAGCTATTTTGGAGGAATTCTTCGCCATTGGAGCTCGGGAATCAAGCTTGGAGATGGAGATTGAAGATCTAGATCAGATTTCTGCAGTCTCTCTCTTCTCTATGGAGTAACTTCCCTTCACTTAGGTTTTGAGGAACCTTAGTTCCATGAGTTAGGATCTTTCTTGTATGAAGTTTTGGATGCTATATTGTTTGATTATAATCGAATGATGCATGTTTATTGAGTCAATTGAAGTCTGATCAACTTTTCCTGATTCCTGCTGCAATCTGAGATAGATAGAATCTGATTAGGTTGCTAGAGTCTCATCATTCGGTAGTAGGAGATTGGCTATACGAGAGTTAGCCAGTTTACTGCTTTGTACTGGAATCCAATTCCAGTAGTGGAGTTATGTGCTTATTGCTTCAGCTTTCTATCCCGGTGAAGACTAGTCGTCTGCCGGATAGTTAGACTGAGAGGGTTTGATTAGCTTAAGAGATTCCAAACTACTGTCGGATCTTCCGCAGTTTAATCAACAGTAAATCAACCAAAAGGAATTACAACTTGGACCTAATTGAGGAGCTAGGGGGAATCATACCTAAGTGAGTTCCCAAACTGTAATTAGTAGTTTTACTTAGTTTAGTTAGTAGAGTAGTTTGGTTAATCAATCCTTAATCTAGTTTGCTAGATAATGAACTGAAGCTGAGTAATAGTAACTCTAGAGACCCGTGGATTCGATATTTATTACTTGTGCCACTATACTGCAGTCTCTTTAATTGGTTACACTTGGCCATTGTTAGGTGTTTTGTTTTCGAGCATCAAGTTTTTGGCGCCGTTGCCGGGGACTTTCTAGAGTATTAGGAAAGGCAGAAGTTTGTTACTTTAGCGTTTTTCTTTTCTTTTCTTTTCCACCCTTGCTTTTCACTTGGGTGTTTTTTGTTTTTGTTGGTGCAGATCTGAATCATGGATCCGCATGGCTTCTCCAACCAGTGGGGGTATCCACCACCATCCGAGTGGTATTACCCCGAGACTCCCTGGAGCAATCAAGGAGGAGAAGACTATGGATTCGGGTTCCAGTACCAACCCCCTTACTACGGAGAACAATCACCCCTGGGCATATCAAGAACAACCTCATTACCAAGAAGACTTTCTCCCACAACCAGAAGGGCCATCGGAGCTGGAGTTACCCATGGCGGCCTTCACGGGCCACTCTGCAGAGCCATGCTACACTTCACTGGAGGATCCGAACGAACAATTAAGGCTTCTCGTGGAGCAGTTTGCTCGAGACATTGAGAAATCATGCTCCAAGATGGATCTTCAAATCAAAGCCCTTGCCACTTCCGATCCCTCATTTCTCCATGATATGGAGGAGACTGTTCAGCGCTCAGCGAAGCAAACAGAGTGGGTGAAGCAAGTTTGCTCACATCTTGCTCAAGATCACCTTTCTACTGCCACGCTAGAAGAGGTGGAGGATGACAAAGGCTATGGGAGCGTTGAGGAGCATACAGAAGTTATCACAGAGAACTCCCATGATAACCATGATCAGGAAAGTCCTTTGGTTGCAGACCACACCTTTCCTCATTTATGCTCTAACATGTTGGGCCCGTGCGAGGAGATGCAAGATGATCCCATTGAAGAAATTGCTTGGCGACTTGCTCTCCAATCTGTTCTAGAAGAAGAAGAGCGAGCAAGGATGAGGAAGAAAGTTGTGGATGATGAGGAAGAAAGAAAAGAAGAGGTGGTTCTTGATCTTTTCCCAGGGGAGAGACCACATTTTGAAGAAGGAAGGGGGGTTGAGGAAGCAATTGGCGTCCAGGCTGAGGATGAAGTTGAGGTGGAAGAGGCATGCACCGGCCATGAGTTGCAAGTAATATCCCTACCAAACTTTGAGGAACTGCTTGGCAAGGACCCATTTGCAGTGTCTCTTTGCCAGACCAAGGCCACATCGACATCGATCCCTCTTGGTGGACGCGATGGTGGCCAATCGATGCTGTCATATCTGGTTTGGGGCAATGAGACGAGAGAAGAGAAGAAGAGGTCTCGAGGGTGGAGACTTCATCTGCATCAAGTACATGAGCCTTCATCACCTGCCACACCACATGCTCGTGACTTGAGACTCCACCTCATCGACGAGAACCTCAACTTCAAGGAGGTTCTAGCATGGACCGAAACTTAGGAGCCATCGTCCGGCTCACGACGTGAAAGAAGCGCTTGTTGGGAGGCAACCCAACCAGTCGGTTTGCATTTCTTTCTCTATTTCTCCTCGGTTGAGTCAGTTTTGTTATTTGATTTTAGAGTCAATAACTCAATCTTTGTGAGATTTTGTGTGGTGTTTGTGTTCTGATTACTCTCTCTTCCTGGACTGCACTGCCTGACCCGTACATCATCATTCAGCCTTGATCTGGTAACTTCGTTCAACCCTCCTTATCTTTCTCCATTGAGGACAATGTCGTGCTTAAGTGTGGGGGGGTGTTCGATTATGTATGCGGGTGAATGTTTGGCTGTTTGTGTGCTTGGAGCCTAGTCCACTGTCCAAATTTTTAAATTTGAGGGCTCCAAGTACGTGTTTCCTTGCAATTGCCTGCTCAGTATGCTTTGAATTGACAGTCTTTATAGTAATATGCATACTAGGGAGGTAGTGTAGCACTATGGAGGATGTTGATGCATTTAAGAAGTCTCGTTTCTTCTTCATATTGTGTTGGTTGATTGAGTGAATTAGTGATCTTAGGACCCTTGAATTGTGTGGTGTTGTGGATTCTCTGCCTGTCATGGACTCTTGTATCATGTTTTGAGTTTAACAGGTGCTCAAAAATGTGCTTCAAATAACGTCTCCCGTGCGAATAGGGCGAAAGTGTGTAAGGGGAGACGGGAATTCGTTCCCAATTTCCACCTACTACCTCCAGCCCCCTTACATGTCTTTCCCCCGCACGAGGCTCGAGACACCCGCTCCTGGCATGGCCGGTAAGAGCAGGTTGGGACCCTTGAAAAGAAAAGAAAAGAAAAATAACAGAAAACAAGCAAAATAGAAAAAAAGGGGGTTCCAACCATCTTCAAGAATAAAATAGAGCACCTTGAAAAATGTGAGTCCATGATCTTTTGTTTTTGAGAATCTCTTCATCCACAATTCATTTGTCCTCTGTTCACTATTTGCCGGGATGCCGACTCGCCGAAGAAGTTATGAGATGACTTGTGCGTCGGTTGACCTCGTAAGTTGCTAAATGATCTAGGAAGTCCTCTACCTACGATCTGGGTTGTTTGTTGCTATAGAGGTCTGGAGAGTTGCATTGGTTTGAGTTAGGTTTGCTTGGGGACAAGCAAACGGTTAAGTGTGGGGGAGTTTGATAGACCGTCATTTACACATGTTTTTACCCCCATTCTTACACCGTTTGAGGTGTTGATTCTCGTGTTTTAGGCCGATTTCACGCTAGGTTGTGCTTGTTTGTGATGTTTCAGGTCCTAGTACGTGAATGAAGGCTTAGGAGCGAGTCTGGGGTCGATTGGATGAAGAACGGACGAATGGCGAGGTTTTTGGGGAGCTGCACGGGCAGACCAGGGAGGCTGCACGGCCGTGCACGTGAGCAATATGGCCGTGCGCCTTATGCCGAGGACACGCACGGGCAACCCCTGAAGCTCGCACGGCCGTGCACCCTGGCCGTGCGAGAGGGCTGAAGTTCGATTAAATGACACGCTGCGTTTTGAGTTGCACGGCCAGAATGGTGATATGCACGGCCGTGCACCCTGGCCGTGCGAGTCGGGATTTCC